CGGCAGCAGTGGATTTTCTCATAGGTTTCAAGAATACAAACTTCGAGAAGTAGTCTAAACACACAAACACATAGACAATTCCACAACACGTACGAGGATAGGATGGAACACTTTATTCTCTAAAAACTTAATAACCTCGGCAGCAGTGGATTTTCTCATAGGTTTAAAGAATACAAACTTCGAGAAGTAGTCTAAACACACAAACACATAGACAATTCCACCACACGTACGAGGATAGGGACCCATAAAGTCAATAAATAAACGTTAAAAAAGCCTTTCAGTGACACGTTGTATGCCCATTAGGGGCTTATGGAAGGCGTCTTGCGTTTTGTTGCCCTTATTTTTCTCTTAAGCGCGTCAAAGTCTTATGAAGTCCGGCATGACCAACAGACGGTAAATCATGCGAGGATTCCACATGTCCACGGCGCAACTCTGTCGTCACCCAGAGTTTCCAGGCGTGGTCCTGCTGAAGGTCATCCGCACTATTAAACTGCGTCCGTTTGTATACATAACCGTCCGATATACAAAGTTCGGCCTCTCCTGGCCTTTTTAAGCTCCTCGTATTCGTGTGTGTGTGAAAAATAGCGAGTCCAAGCACACATCCATCATTCGGTCCTTTACCGCTATCTCCTCCATGTTCATCCGCGACAGCGCTTCTGGCACGATATTTTGGGACCCCTCTTGGTGCTGAATTTCGAAGTCATAGGCCTGCAGCTCTAGGCTCCACCTAGCGAGTCTGCCCGATAAATCCTTTTGGTTCATCAACCATTTCAGACTAGCGTGGTCAGTTATCACCATGAAAGGCCGAAATCGTTTGATACTCAGAACTGCAGCGTAGCGCTCTAGCGTTGTAGTTGCGTTGCGCTTTGTTAAGTTTTGCCGAGATGTATGCAATTGGCCGCTCATTACCGTCGTCGTCTAACTTAAATAAAACCCCGCTCACACCGTCCGTTGACGCGTCACCTTCTATATAAAAGTGTCTGTTGAAGTCGGGGTGTATCAAGACTGGTGCCGAAATCAGGCTTTCTTTCAACTGATTAAACGCCCTTCTGGCCTCGTCCGTCATAGTAAATTTATTTACTCTTCCTTTATGAGGCAGTTGTGCAGCGGAGCTGCAATCGTCGCTTAGTCTTGTATAAATCTTCGGTACCACCCTGTCATCCCCAGGAACCGCCTGAGCTGCTTCGGGAAATCTCATGGCTGTCACTTTACTCGCATCTGTATGGATGCAGCCGTTGCCCACGACGTACCTAAGGTATCTTACCTCCTTAAAGAACAATTTGCTCTTTTCAACGTTTATTGTCAGTTTGGCTTCACGGAGACATTTAGCAACTTTTTCTAACAAGGAAAAATGGGACACAAATTCTTCCAAACACACAAGTAGGTCATCCAAATAAACGAACACAGATTCACGAAGATTAGAGGGTATGACATTGTCTATGATCTCAAACATACGTTGTGCTGCATTTCACAACCGAAATGGCATGACGGTGCAGTGATACAACGGTCTGCCCGGTACGGTGAATGCCGTTTTCTCCCTTGACTTCCTCTCTAAAGGTATCTACTAGAATGCGTCTTTTAAATCGATTGCGGATATAAACCTAGTATTTCGTAGTCGCCTTAGGATACCATCAATATGGAGCAGTGGATAAGCGTCTTTAACGATGCTCTCATTTACCTTACGGGCATCCAGACAGAGGCGGTTTTTAGTCCCTTTAATCACGAGTGAGACTGGTGAGTTCCAGCTCCTGTTGGGCTTTTATATCACCCCCATTTCCAGCATTCTGTCCAAGTCATTATAAATATGTGCCTTTGTTTTACTGGCAGATTCTCATTGATCACTACTATAACATGCTCCTCTTTGTCTGTCTTGCTTAGTTCTAATACGGCAAAGGACGGGAATTGTGCCTTAACACGCTCTAATGCCACAGTTTGATCGTGAGTCAAAGCGTGTTGCACCGCATCAAAGGATAGATCTCCCTCGGCGGGCACAAGCTCTGAAATACCCGCACCATTTACACTCGCAGGCACTCCTCTACTCAGAACACTCATATCGAGAGTGATGACACCTACCACTGCAGTTTCTCCACCATTCGCGGTTCTGATATTCTGCCCCTTGATAGGAAGTATCATACTTTGTTTTCCTTCCAGAAGCTTGTCAGCATTCTTGCCTAGGGAGCTAGCTCCTGCTCCCAAATCTAATAAGGCTAATACTTCCTGGTCTCCTATTTTTGTCTTAGCAAAAAATCTGTTATCACTTTTCACAGTGACAATTGTGGAGACTATTTTTCTACATATCCTACGGAGATTCTTTTTCTTCGCCCTCATTATTTCGATCTTTTTATAATTCCTTATTTTCTTTTTCTGAAGTACTTCTTCACAAAATATGCGTCTACGCGCCTCCTCGTAGTCTAGCTTTTTTGGTGTAGATCTTTAACTACCCTATTTTCTTCTTTTTCTTTACTACTTACTCCTCTCTTCAATATTGTTATTGATTTGCTTCCGGGTTCTCCTTCACCTGGCAAAAGTTCCCGGATGGCTTCGCCGGTTTCTTGTTTCCCTATCTTGGCTTGAATACACAGAAGGACAGGCTACCACCACACGCAAAACAGACCATATAGTGGAACAAAGGCCTACATTTATCAGGTTTTTGGGAATCAAAGGGGTTCTTAACAAAGTGGTCGACAGGCACACAACACGACGTGAAAAGGGGACGCATAGAAGGAACTAATTGTTGACTTATTGACATCAGAGCGCCATTGGGACTAACAGACGAAGACGAACTCTTACTAGCTATCACTGTCTGCTGTGTTTTATTGCACTGGGACCTACCTAACGCTTCTACACTTTTTTCTACCGATGCTTCTACTTGCATAAAATCTAATTCGCTCACAGGTTTTTGCCTACCTTTGTTTTCCTTAATCACCTTTTCAGCTCGTTTGCACTCTGACTTTAATTCAGCTAGCGTACTCATCCAAGCAAAAGTTAAATTATCCAGACTCCTGTTCGGGAATCTTCTTTCTAAGAAGAAAAACCAAATTATGTACATCGCTGAAGAAGTCTTCAAAGGTCTCTTGGGGCATCTGTTTCCTATCCATAATCTCACGAATAATATCGTAGTTCGATTCGGCGGTCTTGAAGTGGCTTAGCAGTTCGGCTTTTAGCTCGAAGTAAACAAAGTCAGGTTCATCAGCGTGGTCCTCGAGCACCTGCCAATACCACTTCAAGGCGCCACTGGTAACGAGACTGTGAAAATCGGTAGATAACTGGTAGTAGCTGATGCCATACTGCTCCCTCTCAATGCGAAAAAAATCTTTCTACCGTCACTCCCTTTCCTGTACCATCAAATTTCACGTGCCATTTACCTAACTCAATTTTGCTATTCCTACTTTCGTTTTGCGAACGGGAGGGACTGGCATTCTGACCATCAGTGGATGTCCCGCCTGGTGTTTCCGGTGTTGATGCTATTGTTGGTCGATTTCCAGCTGCCTGCGCTGAAGGTTCTACTTCTGATATCCTATTGGTCAGTGTGACTACGTTATCTCGCATGTGGCGGACCTCGTTCATGCATTGCGCCATCGTGTCATTTTGTTGCGCCATCATTGCCATCATCCGGCTCAGCTGTTAGACATTGATGGATGCAGAACTAGGTCCACCACCGTGCTATTTCGAACCCCCTGGTTTTTGATCACCTGGCAGCATATTTCCCCCGATTGTTGCTCTTGTTCAGACATCTGCAGTAGGTCTTCAATATCTTGTGAAAAAGTGAGGCTGTTATCCGTGGAGTTTAGAACTACCTCGCGAGTGACTTGGTTGGTGTGGTACTGCTTGCCCCGCTGTACCAAATATGCGGGCGGTGCACCGATTCAGGTAATCCGTGGGCAGGAAGTCAACGTGATATGGTACGCCCGTATTGATTTGGGTAAAGAGCGATCCTACAACTTGATTTTCTAAGGCCCGTGCCACACTGCGCGTAATGCGGCGGTTTGAATCTAGTAACCCTAATCCTCCTGGAATCAATAAATCTTCCTCCTCGCGTTCTCCCATTACTTTCACGCGAAAACCCTTCTCACCAGAGCGCCTTATTTTCAAAACAAAACCAATTCCAATGGTTTAAAAGAAAAAGGGAAGCAAAAAAAATACTCAAAGAAAGCTCTAGAAAAGCCGGGTTAAGGTGAAAAATCCAATAACACTTCAACGAAAAACCAAAAGCCGAACCCGATTAACGCTGCCGACACAGAATCAGTTTTGCCTTCCAATTTCCTCACACACATTGCTTGTAAAAAATCATCAAAATTGAAAGCCATTACGTAGGCTGCATTCAATTTGAGAAGCAATTTCATTATTAACATGTCGCCTTTAAGAGAACAATTAACTAACTAGCTTCTTAAGAACATTTTCCATTTTAATTCCATTGTAGATTAACAATTTAACATGCATAAGCTTAGTATTTTTTTATTTTCACAAAATTCACATACCAATGCTGAAAGCTGATCAAAATTGAAAGCAGAATTGAAACTCAATTGAAGGGGAAAAATTGAAAGTAAGTTGTCCATTCAAGCAATAAATAAGAGTGTGTTATTGGAAAAGTGTGAGAGTATTGAAAATTGAAAGGGGAAAATTGAATGTGTAACGGCCCGGTAAAAGAAAAATTCAAAAATTTAAAAATTCAATGAAAATCGAAAGTTGAATAATAAAAATTTAAGCCCGGAATCAGAAGAATTAAAAAAAATCTCAGAAATAACATTCAGAAATTCGTACGACCGAAATGTTAAAACGAATGCAGAGGATCAGAATTCATAAAAGAGGTATTCAAAAAAACGATGATCGAAAAAAAAAATAATTTTAAAATTTTACAAGGATTAAATATTCATAAGACTGAAAAACAGAACAATTTCTATAAGTAGTAGTAGTAGCAATTCTTTATTTCTATATTATCATCTAACAAAGATTTTAATAACTAAATACATTTTTAGTTCCTTTCAATGGTTAACTGTCGAGTCGTGAGTAGGCTAAAGAAATAAAACGCCTCTTTGGTTACAATGGCATGACGACGGGTACGAGTGCGTTTATTTCTATGATAATGAAATACAGTTAACAATGAGCAGTGGTTTTCATATACATAAATCAGATTAATAATACTCACCGCAGTTTGCGCCTTTCCTCTTGAACATTCACGACTCTAATAAATCAAAATGACGAACAACTTAAATAAAGGCAAATGTCGAACATAAAGGTCGAATGTCTTACAAGAGTTGCCAACTGCGTAGAGTTCACAAAAACTTTACATAAATTAACAAAGCTTACGATGTGCTTACACTTTAAATTTGAATACGACAAGTTATAGGTGGACGTTTTGTCACATTCCCTCCCCCGTGGATCGCTCAGATTCACCACTACGTACGTCCAAAACGGCCAGCTTTGAAGAAGGACGACGTACTACACCAGAGCTAGTCCTGACGTCCGCGCGCCGAATTACACCATCCACTCCAGGGAAAACACGCTCCACCACACCACGGCACCATTGTCATCGCGGGGTATTAATGTCGCATATAAACACCACGTCACCCACTTCCAATTCTTTCGTTNCCATCCACTCCAGGGAAAACACGCTCCACCACACCACGGCACCATTGTCGTCGCGGGGTATTAACGTCGCATATAAACACCACGTCACCCACTTCCAATGCTTTCGTCTTCTCGCACCATTTGGTTCTTCGCGTTAACGTAGGTAAATACTCCATTATCCACCTCTTCCAAAACCTATTGCGAAGCTGCCGAGCAATTCGCCACTGTTTACGAAGGGCAGACGTTCGCTCTTCCGAAGCGTTTATAGAAGGCGTTTGCGCTGTATTGGCGGTACCCAGTAAAAAATGGTTTGGCGTAAGCGGTTCGTCTTGGTCCACTGATATCGGCAAATGTGTAAGTGGCCGAGAGTTCACTATATTCTCGGCCTCAATCAAGACGCTCTGCAATGTATGCTCACGTGGCGCGATTTCCTTCAAGGTGTGACGGAGGACACGTTTAACGCATTGCACCATGCGTTCCCACACTCCACCTTCCGATGGGTTATCAGGGCAATTAAACACCCAATCAATTCCTCTTTTAGATAATCCGGTCTGTATTTGCTCACAGCTGTCGGCCGCTGTGGTGTAGTGGTAAGCAGTGCGCGCTTCCACTCCGCAACGCCTGGGTTCAAGCCCTGGTCAAAGCAACATCGCAAAAAAATATAGAAAAAGGTTTTTTCATAACAGCGGTCGTCCCTCGGCAGGCAATGGCAAACCTCCGAGTGTATTTCTGCCATGAAAAACAGCTTCTCATAAAAATACAATCGCCGTTCGGAGTCCGCGTAAAACTGTAGGTCCTTCCGCTTTGTGTGACAACTTCAAGGCGCACGCCACAAATCGGAGGAGAAGCTCGGCCAAACACTAACATATGTGTAAGCGCCAATCTATTATTATTATTATTATTATTTGCTCACAGTCAAACGTTCATCGAAGCGTTTTGCTTCTGCCTTGACGCCAACGAAGTTCTCTCCGTTATCGCTGCGCATTCGGACTGGGACGCCACGCCGATTGATAAAATTTCTGATGGAAAGAATAGACGAATCCGTTGACAAATCAGCTGCTACCTCAAAATGTATAGCTCGCACCGTGAGGCATGTAAACAGAGCGATCCATCGTTTTTTCATCGTTACGTTCAAAGGGCCGAAGTAGTCTATGCCCGTGTAGTTGAATGGTCTTACGTATGGCGTTAAGCGATCCTTCGGCAGTCTACCCATAATCGGCGGTGAGGGTTTTGCACGGAAAGCTCTGCAAACCATGCAACTCGCGACAACGCTTCTTAAAACTTGACGTATGCGGGTGATCCAGAACTTCTGGCGAATCTCCCCAATTGTTGCTTCAAAGTACTGATGTTCCATTCGCTCGTGATAATGGGTGACGATTAGAACAGTAAGCTGGTGCTTCTCTGGTAAAATGATGGGATGCAGGCAATCAAACGGAAGCCAAGTAGCAGCTTCTAAACGGCCACCAAAGCGTAAAATTTTTTCGTCGTCAATAAACGGTGCTAAATTGTTGATCGTACTGTCACTACCTAGCGGTTGTCCTACTCGTAGTGCAGTGATCTCCGCAGGAAAGGTAGCTTCTTGCGCCACGCGACATAGCAATTTTTCGGCCGCGTTGACTTCGGATGCGCTTAGTCCATAAAATTCTACAGGCGAATTCTTGCGTCGGCTGCGGTTGACGAATCTTAATACCCATGCTGTTGATCTCTTGAGTCTGTTGTAAGAAGAAAATCTGTTAAAATTGAAAATTGTACTGTTAAAGAGGATAAGCATTGGTCGCGGTGACAACTCTTCGGTAGTTGTTTCTGTGGTAGTTTCAGCTGTGGTAGTTTCAGTAGAATGTTTTGGCCAATCTTCCACTCCCAATGATAAAAATTCTGGTCCCTTGAACCAACGAGAAGTTTCAGATAAGTCTATATGACGGCTGTGGCGGGTAGCATCGTCAGCACCATTCGCGCTTGTAGGAACTCATTTCCAGTCACACGGCTGAGTTACGGCAAGTATCTCCGCGATACGATGCACTACGAATGGTTTATAGCGGCGGTTCTCGGAGTTTAACCAGCTGATAACGGTCGTAGAATCACTCCACAAAATACGGGTACATTCACAGCAGCTTGTAACTCGAGCCTGGGAACTGTCATTGGCTTCGTGGGCGCGCATTTCGACTTAGCTCCGATCAGTGTTGTTTTTACATGACCTTTCACGCTTATATATCGCCAGTAACATACCGCAGAGAAAGCCTCTTCACTAGCGTCCANATTGGCTTCGTGGGCGCGCATTTCGACTTAGCTCCGATCAGTGTTGTTTTTACATGACCTTTCACGCTTATATATCGCCAGTAACATACCGCAGAGAAAGCCTCTTCACTAGCGTCCACAAACACGTGCAGCTGCAAATCTTTTGGTGGTCCGTCATGGAAATAATAGCGCGGAATCCGAACCATCGAAGTCTTCCGGATGTGTTCTTGCCATTTTTTCCTGGAGTAGTTAATTTCATCGTCTAGTTGCTCGTCTCGTGCTATTCCCCGCCGCCATACTTCTCGCATCAACAGTTTAGCGCCAACAGTCAGATGACAAAGAAAGCCCAGCGGGTAGAAGATGGACATCACATAGCTGAGAAGCTCTCTTTTTGTTGGTGGTCTGCTTCCTTTTACTACTTCTGCGTTGACTCGAAGGAACTTAAGCTCATATCGAAAAGTGTCGTCATTTGGGTGCCAAAACATTCCGAGTACCTTTTCTGTATTTGACTGAACATCAAAACGACTGATGGCTAATTCTTTATCATCTGTTGCACTGGCAAATGTCTTAAATACGGCTGCAGAATTGGAAACAATCTTTCGCATGTAAAAACCCGCCGTTTTTTGTATCCTACGTACTTGCTCTGTAATGGTTATGGCCTCCTTACAGGATTCGAAACTGTCCACGTAGTCATCGACATAATCATGCTTTATGATGGCCTCGACAGCGCGTGGAAATTTCTTCTCATATTCAAAAGCGTTTAAGGTCTTCACATATTGCGCAGCACAAGGCGAGCATGCGGCTCTGAATATCATAACTTGCATTTCGTACACGTCTGGCTGGTGTCTGGAGTCGTCCCTCCAAAGAAACCTTTGCGCGCACCTATCTTCCGGTTGTATCTTGATCTGGTGATACATTTCCGCGATATCACCACAAACACCAATAGCTCCGATCCGAAAATTGTACAGTACCGTTGGCATTGGTTGGTAGCTTTGAGGACCCTTAGGCAAACAGGAGTTTAAGGATATTCCGTCTACGGTTGCAGCAGCATCGAACACTAGGCGGAGTTTACCAGGCTTGTTAAGATTTTCGACTGCGAAGTGTGGAAGATACCAAACCCTTGGGCGAGTTTTATTGAAATCAAGGGGATTCAGTTTTACCGCGTAATTTTTGGCAATGTAGCTTTGAATTGTCGATTTATATGCTATGGCAAAGTCACTATTCTTACTCATCTTTCGTTCAATTCCTCTGAGTCGTTGTTCGGCCATTTGGAAACTGTCTGGCAGCTGGATGTCGTCCTTGTGCCACAGCAAACCGGTTTGGTATCTTCCGTCTATACGTACAGTAGTGGACTTTAAAATATTCTCTGCGCGTACGTCAGCGCCACTTCTCACCACTGGTGCCGGCCGCACTCCAAAGTTCTCGATTTCAAAGTATCTCTTTACCATGTCATGTAAATTTTTATCACTCACCTCGTTCATATGCAAGCACGTCGCCCGTACCGTTTTATTAGTGTTCGTAGATCCGAATATCACCCAACCGAACTCCGTGTTAGCTGCATATGGCCCATTCTTTACAAACTGCATGGTTTCCGTCGGCAGCCCCAAGTGACAGTGATCCAAGCCAATAAGTAGGTTTGGCTTTACATTTGAAAACGTATTGGGTACTTTGCGCAAATATTCGGAGGCTCCTCGTAAATCATGATTACTTAAACTCTGCATAGGCAAATCCAGATCTGGCACCGCGTACACATGACGCAGGTTAAAACGTTTGCTCGATGCAGTTCCGCTAATCTGAAGGTTAACTACAGTAGCTGGTTGTTGTGCCGTCTTTCCTCCATACCACTGCAAGCTTAACATGTGCTGATGACCTTTAACTCCCAACTCTGCGATCAAGCTACTGTCAATCATTGTCATGGATGAGCCCTCGTCCAGCATAGCGTATGTATTCACACGTCGTCCAGACCCATACAGTACTACGGGTAAGACGCGAAACAAAAGTTTATATTCATTGCGTGGTGTAGCGGCACAACTCAGGACGGCATCGTTAGCCTGATTTCTATTTTGCGTTGGCTCTTCTCTGCCAGTAATTGTGTTTTGTTGCTGCTCGTAGCGCTCTGATGTAAGTCTACTGGCATTCTTGTTAGATTACTGTAGAAATCTTTTGCACGTACTAATTTTATGCTCCCTCATGCCAAGTGGACACTTGTTGTAGCTATTCCTCCCGACTCCTTTGTTCTGTCGCTCGTAGTCTTTATTGTCGTTTCCATACAGTACGACTCGTCGACGGGCCTCTGTATCATGAACAGTGCAGACCAAATTCGCAACATCGCTTAACCAGTTGCTAAAGTCTACAACGGTTGGGTATGGTATTACAGTAGCAGCGTATCTAGCCCATTCCATCTTCTTGCTTGTATGGAGTTTGCCTACTAACTCTTCAAGCAGTGTAGGATTCGCCAGATGGTGTTCTCCATTAACTGATTGTAAAAATGTAGCTAAATTTTTGGTTTTCGTTGCGAATGGGATGAGTTTTTCAATTCTGAAATGAGTGAAATATCTTTAACCTGACGTAACTGACTTCGAATCAACAACTCGGGTCTACCAAAACGAAACTTTAGCTGTTCCATTGCAGCGTGTACGTTTTCTGGATGAATAAGGAGTGATTTAACAATTTCCCTATCTTTGCCTTTTAGGCTTTTTAGTAGACGTTGGTTATTCTCCAAATTGCTGTAACCATACGCGGCGGTTGAATTAGTAAAAGCATTATAAAAAAGCGGCCAGTCTTCAGGCAGCCCACTAAATTCTGGTAAATCCTGAATTTTTCGCGGCACGGCATAATTAATAGGCATACCTAGCGATTGGTTCACTTGTGCATTTGTTATTGTGGCTGCTTGAAAGTTATTGACGTCAGCAGGAAAGGTAACGGGTGGTGGCATTATAAACGGATGTACATTTGCAGTCGCTGACCTTACAGAATTGTCGGTGACGTCGAGCGGCAGTTGCAAAGCACCGCTATGAAACCTACTGCTAGCGCCGCTCGACGTCGACTGCACTGTCGACGACTCATTAGAAATGAACCGTTCTTATAAAGCTTGCCGTTTGTTGTTGCTATCACTTGACTGCGCTTGAGTGTCCCGTAACTGGTGTTCCAACTCTTTTCGAATAAATAACTAACCTGTTGTGCAGTACTAATATTACGCGATGCTGCTGTGGCATTTGCAGCGGTGGCGGTGTTACCTGATGTGTTGCTGGCGGCACTGATAGCTGCGCTGCTTCCTACGGTGACATTTGCAAGGGACGTCGCAACGGCAGGTGTGGTTTTGGAGC